TGGCTGTCTGGTCCCTAACGGACTGGACCTTTGACCTGCTTTTGACTGCCCATCTCCTCCTCTTCTCCAGGGTTGGACAGACTGCCACTGCCCGTCTCTGGTTTCCCCCGGGCATCTAGGAAGACCCAGCACCAGTGACCTCCAGCTGGGGGTGGGAGGGAAAAAACTGGACACTGCCATCTGCTGCCTAGGCCTGGAGGGAAGCCCAAGGCTAGCTGGACCTCAGGACCTGGAATCTGAGAGGGTGGGTGGCAGAGGGGAGCAGAGCCATCTGCACTGTAGCATAATCTGAGCCAGAGTTTGGGACCAGGACCTCCTGCTTTTCCATACTTAACTGTGGCCTCAGCATGGGGTAGAGCTGGGTGACTGGGTCTAGCCCCTGGTCCCAAATCTGTTTACACATCAATCTGCCTCACTGCTGTTCTGGGCCATGCCCATAGCCATGTTTACATGATTTGATGTGCAATAGGGTGGGGTGGGGGCAGGGAAAGGACTGGGCCAGGCCAGGCTTGGGAGATAGATTGTCTCCCTTGCTTCTGGCCCAGCAGAGCCTAAGCACTGTGCTATCCTGGAGGGGCTTTGGACCACCTGAAAGACTAAGGGGATAGGAGGAGGCTTCACCCATCAGCAATAAAGTTGATCCCAGGATTTGCTTTGTTTTTTTAAAGCGCCTGTCTCTGTGTGTATTTGAACAGCCTTGCTCCCACCAGTCCTGAGTCTGCCCAGTAAGAGAAGCAGAGGGGTCCTGCCCACCATCCTTTTCCTTCCCCTTCATCTATATTACTAGCATCCTTTGGGGACTTGGATCTGGTGTTAGGCCATGCAGTTGGGCAGTGGAAAACTCCTCCATCCTCAGTCTTGCTTAAAGCTGGCTTGTCCCCTGACTCCTTATATCCATGGCCTTAGGACATGGGCATAGGAGTAGGATAACCTCCCCCGGTACACTCACACCTTCAGCCCTATCCTCCCTGGCTTAACTATTGGATGTAGAGTAAAATAAGTGGCTGGCTGACAAGGATTTTCATTTCCTACCTGAGAGAAGAACCTAGCTTTTTACTAGAGGCCATCAGTTTCTTGAAGAGCCCATGTGCTATGCTGGTGGTAAGAGCACAAAACTTAAGAGTTATACAGATTGTGTATTGCACAAGTTCCAGGGACACCATTCACCTCATAGTCATTGTATGGATAGTTACTATGATAGTTTTCTCATAAAAGTCAGGCATCTTGAGGAAGGGGTGCTTTTTTTCTTTTCTTTTTTCTCTTGCGAGACAAGATCTGGCTCTATCACCCAGGCTGGAGTGCAGTGGTATAGTCTCAGCTCACTGCAACCTCCGCATTCTGGGCTCAAGCCATTCTTCCAGCTCGGCCTCCAGAATAGCTAGGACAACAAACACATGCTACCATGCCTGGTTAATTTTTGTATTTTTAGTAGAGATGGGGTTTTGCCATGTTGCCTAGGCTGGTCTTGAACTCCTGAGCTCAAGCGATCCACCTGCCTTGGCCTCCCAAAATGATGAGATTACAGGGGTGAGCCACGACACCCAGCCATCTTTTTTTGGGGGGGTCTCACTGTGTCACCCAGATTAGTGTGCAGTGGCATGATCTTAGATCACTACAACCTTGAACTCTTGGACCCAAGTGATCCTCCTTCCTCAGCCTCCTGAGTACCTAAGACTACAGGCATGTACCACCATCCTCCACTAATTAATTTTTTTTTTTGAAATGGGGTCTCACTATGTTGACCAGGTTGGTCTTCAACTCATGGCCTCAAGCAGTCTTTGCCTCAGCCTCCCAAAGTGTTGGGATTACAGGAGTGAGCCACTGTGCCTGGCCTGGTTTTTTCCTAATGTATGCTAAGTTGCTATGAGTACTAGCCATAGAGTGGGGTGAGGGGAGAGAGTATGAAACACAAAGTGTAGATTCCACAAATACTTGCAGAGCACCCTTCTGTAGAGTAGGCACTGGTGGTAGTTATCTAGGACACTCTGGATCACGGGTCACCCCGTCACCCCAGCAGGGGAGAGGGTGTGCTTCCTGCTTTGTGGGTAACATACCTCATCCACACATTCTGTGGCTTGGCTGTCTGGTCCCTAACGGACTGGACCTTTGACCTGCTTTTGACTGCCCATCTCCTCCTCTTCTCCAGGGTTGGACAGACTGCCACTGCCCGTCTCTGGTTTCCCCCGGGCATCTAGGAAGACCCAGCACCAGTGACCTCCAGCTGGGGGTGGGAGGGAAAAAACTGGACACTGCCATCTGCTGCCTAGGCCTGGAGGGAAGCCCAAGGCTAGCTGGACCTCAGGACCTGGAATCTGAGAGGGTGGGTGGCAGAGGGGAGCAGAGCCATCTGCACTGTAGCATAATCTGAGCCAGAGTTTGGGACCAGGACCTCCTGCTTTTCCATACTTAACTGTGGCCTCAGCATGGGGTAGAGCTGGGTGACTGGGTCTAGCCCCTGGTCCCAAATCTGTTTACACATCAATCTGCCTCACTGCTGTTCTGGGCCATGCCCATAGCCATGTTTACATGATTTGATGTGCAATAGGGTGGGGTGGGGGCAGGGAAAGGACTGGGCCAGGCCAGGCTTGGGAGATAGATTGTCTCCCTTGCTTCTGGCCCAGCAGAGCCTAAGCACTGTGCTATCCTGGAGGGGCTTTGGACCACCTGAAAGACTAAGGGGATAGGAGGAGGCTTCACCCATCAGCAATAAAGTTGATCCCAGGATTTGCTTTGTTTTTTTAAAGCGCCTGTCTCTGTGTGTATTTGAACAGCCTTGCTCCCACCAGTCCTGAGTCTGCCCAGTAAGAGAAGCAGAGGGGTCCTGCCCACCATCCTTTTCCTTCCCCTTCATCTATATTACTAGCATCCTTTGGGGACTTGGATCTGGTGTTAGGCCATGCAGTTGGGCAGTGGAAAACTCCTCCATCCTCAGTCTTGCTTAAAGCTGGCTTGTCCCCTGACTCCTTATATCCATGGCCTTAGGACATGGGCATAGGAGTAGGATAACCTCCCCCGGTACACTCACACCTTCAGCCCTATCCTCCCTGGCTTAACTATTGGATGTAGAGTAAAATAAGTGGCTGGCTGACAAGGATTTTCATTTCCTACCTGAGAGAAGAACCTAGCTTTTTACTAGAGGCCATCAGTTTCTTGAAGAGCCCATGTGCTATGCTGGTGGTAAGAGCACAAAACTTAAGAGTTATACAGATTGTGTATTGCACAAGTTCCAGGGACACCATTCACCTCATAGTCATTGTATGGATAGTTACTATGATAGTTTTCTCATAAAAGTCAGGCATCTTGAGGAAGGGGTGCTTTTTTTCTTTTCTTTTTTCTCTTGCGAGACAAGATCTGGCTCTATCACCCAGGCTGGAGTGCAGTGGTATAGTCTCAGCTCACTGCAACCTCCGCATTCTGGGCTCAAGCCATTCTTCCAGCTCGGCCTCCAGAATAGCTAGGACAACAAACACATGCTACCATGCCTGGTTAATTTTTGTATTTTTAGTAGAGATGGGGTTTTGCCATGTTGCCTAGGCTGGTCTTGAACTCCTGAGCTCAAGCGATCCACCTGCCTTGGCCTCCCAAAATGATGAGATTACAGGGGTGAGCCACGACACCCAGCCATCTTTTTTTGGGGGGGTCTCACTGTGTCACCCAGATTAGTGTGCAGTGGCATGATCTTAGATCACTACAACCTTGAACTCTTGGACCCAAGTGATCCTCCTTCCTCAGCCTCCTGAGTACCTAAGACTACAGGCATGTACCACCATCCTCCACTAATTAATTTTTTTTTTTGAAATGGGGTCTCACTATGTTGACCAGGTTGGTCTTCAACTCATGGCCTCAAGCAGTCTTTGCCTCAGCCTCCCAAAGTGTTGGGATTACAGGAGTGAGCCACTGTGCCTGGCCTGGTTTTTTCCTAATGTATGCTAAGTTGCTATGAGTACTAGCCATAGAGTGGGGTGAGGGGAGAGAGTATGAAACACAAAGTGTAGATTCCACAAATACTTGCAGAGCACCCTTCTGTAGAGTAGGCACTTAACCTTGGAGATACATGATAAATATGTGTGTGCTTAAGATTGCTTTGTCTAGTAAGGTGCCAAATAATTCTAATACTGTTCTACCACTGCAGTAAGTACTGGTTCTTGAGGGAACACAGGTGGGCAGTGTTGGGACATCAAGGAAGGCTTCTTGAAGAAATGACTTCTGAACAAAAGAAATTGGATGTGGTGCCTTTGAGATGAGATCTGAGTGGCTGAAAATGGAGCCCGGGGAGTCCAGAGAGGGAGAAAGCTGGAGAAGTGCCTAGATGGACGGTTAAGGGAAGCGATCCTCACCTCTTACAAAGACTCTTGAATGCCCACTGCCCTTCAGCAGCTTCCAACCGACAAGTTATTCATTTGAAAAGCAGCAGCTATTAGATGCCTGGCAAAGAAGAGAAGGGGAAAAAAGTTGGAAGTCCTAAACCAGACAATAAGTACCAAGCTCTGTCCCTGGTTCTGGGGAAGTTCCAAAGGAGATTGTAAAGTTAGTAGAGAAATGGGCCCCTGGTATCCTCACCTCCCAGTCCTGCTTAATGCTGAGTGTGAGGAGAGATGGAAGTTGGGGAGATCTGGGGCGGACCACAGAGAAGGGAGGCTCTGGTTGTCTGCCCAAAGGGCTTGGCTGGTCTTGGGTAGAAATTGGAACCCATACTTCCTGGATGACAGCGGAGGGCATGGCCTGCCAGGGTAGGCTTTGAGAGAGCAAAAATTCCAATTCGAGTATCAGAGGACGGTGGTGTGGTTCCAAGTTTAGGCTTGGAGGTAGAAGGATGTTTAGGCAGCCAAGGACTGTAAAGCTACAAGGATTTCCTAGGCAGGTGTTTGCCTGGTTTCCAGGATGGGACACACTTCAGTCGCAAAATGGACCAGCAGTGACCGGCTAGATCCCCCGCCCGGGTGAGAGGGGGTGGGACGATCTTGGGAGAAGGGCGGAGGGCGGGGCCAGGGGCCACTTAAGGCGGAGTCCGGAGTCCGGGCGTTCTGGCAGCACCAGAGTCCTGCAGCAGAGACGGGCTGGGCTGGCACTCACCCACGACCCCCCTTCCCTGCTATGATGGTTCGTCAGTAGCAGGTCCTAGACGACCCCCCCCCCGGGGGGCACGTGGGCAGAGCTAGCAGCAGCCAGGTGCACTGAGCCACAAGAGCTCTAGGGCACTCTGGGAGCAGCTCTGCCTGCTGCCCTCTCTGGTGCCTGTGGAGATGCCTAACTGACAGGAGAGTTAGTGAGGACAGGAACGCTCGCTCTTGGCCCAGGTCCGCTGTATCCATGGCTCTCCTGACCAATCTGCTGCCCCTGTGCTGCTTGGCACTTCTGGCGCTGCCAGCCCAGAGCTGCGGGCCGGGCCGGGGGCCGGTTGGCCGGCGCCGCTATGCGCGCAAGCAGCTCGTGCCGCTACTCTACAAGCAATTTGTGCCCGGCGTGCCCGAGCGGACCCTGGGCGCCAGTGGGCCTGCCGAGGGGAAGGTGGCAAGGGGCTCCGAGCGCTTCCGGGACCTCGTGCCCAACTACAACCCCGACATCATCTTCAAGGATGAGGAGAACAGTGGTGCGGACCGTCTGATGACCGAGGTAAGGAGGGCCTCTCCCTACCTGAGCCAGGGCACTGCCAGCTCCTCCGTTTTCCTGTGGCAGCCCAGGAGGGTGAGTCCAGCTTCACCTACAGAGACTTTAGCCTTAAAGATCTTCCTTGTCACCAGCCCCGGGGCGGGGGGGGGGAATCCTTACTGGCTGGACAGAGTGGTTAGGAGGGATCCTGACTAGAAGAGTCTGGGATGGGGAGGGGAGGAGGCACTGACTAGTGAGAGTGAAGCTAGGAGAGGCAGCGAGGGCGGGGAAAGGAGGATGGCGGCAGGCGAGACGGGAAATGGCTGAGGCGTGGACCGGGGGTCAGCCACCCAGCCAGGCAGGAAGGGCTGGGGTGAGCTGGGGGCCAGGAGCTGGCTAGGCAGCAGACAGAAGCCTGGCTCCTGACCTGATTGTAGAAAAGCTCTGTGGGCCGAAAAGAAGAGACTGAAAAGGGCTGGGACAGGGGTGGCCAAGGGTCAGGTCACCAGACGATGTACCTGAGGATGGGCTGGGCAGAAATTGCTTTTGGCATGGGAAACATGTCCTAGAACCAGGACACATCTATTCTAGGGTCTATTCTAGGGCTATCCTAGGGTCTAAATGACAATTTTGGGGTAAAAAGTCATCCTCAGTGAGAATAACAGATGGGCCCACCTGAGAATTAGAGGGCTCCTAAGTCTTCCAAGCTCTGCCTATCTCAGGGACTTTCCTTGGAATTACACAATTAAGATAAATTCAACTACCATTTTTGAGCACTGGAACTGAATCAGCCTAGAGTGAGGTGGGCAATGCCTTGGAAGAGAAGGACCACCTCTGGCCAGTGATTTATTTTTTATTTTTTGTAGAGATGAGGTCTTGCCATGTTGCCTAGGCTAGTCTTGAACTCCTGAGCTCAAGGGATCCTCGGCCTCCCAAAGTGCTGAGATTACAGGTGTGAGCCACTTCATCCAGCCTGGCCAGTGATCTTGAATGTTAGAACTGAAAGAAAACTTGGGAGATCACATTCCTCCAACCCTCCCCACCCTAACTGCCACCCTCATTTTACATCTGAGAGCTGGACTTCCCCCAGGAGGAAAAGCAATTTAAACTCTCACAATTTAAAGTGGCATGGCTGGGACTAGAATTCAGGACTCCTGATTCTGAGCCCTATATACTTTCCATTACACCACCTAATTGTGTATGGAGTGGGGAGGTGAGGGGAGAGGGAGGGGTACGGATTTCCTCTGATTAATTGCCATAGTTTTCCAGGTTACTTTGTTAGGAAAACCTGTCCAGGGGAGAAATAATTCCTTTTGCTTCTGCCCTGAAGCCTTCCTCCTACCCAGAGATTGGAAAAGGGGCATTTCTTCTTTCCTCCTTGGCCATGGAACATTGTGACCCTTTTCTCTGGTTGCCACCTGCAGCAGAGTGGGCAGAACAAGGGACAGGCTCAGGAGGGGCTCCGACAGGCTTGGGAGCCCCCTCAGCCTTACTTATCTCCCACACCCTGGCTGCAAAAGGCCTCCATTGAGTTGGCTCTGCACTGGGCTGCTGCCCCCGCAGGTCAGGGCCTCGGGGCCTCCTTAGGGGACGAAACGACAAAGTTGGAAGGAGCTACCACTTTTCCTGTTTTTCCCCCACCCCCCAACTCTGCGGAGGTGGAGGCGACTAGAGAAGGAGAGGGGGAAAAGTGTCCTTCTGTTAGGAGGAAACCAAGTCCGAGGTGAGAAGTCGGAGGGGAAAGAAAAAAAGGAAGCTGTCCCTCTGCGCCTCCTCCCGCGGTGTCCCTGCTATGGTGCGCGCCAAGGTCTCCCGCTCCCAGGCTGGAGCGGCCAAGATAACTGTGGTCTCACTCCCCCAGGTGCAGGCTTACAGCCGCAGCTTCTTTTCCTCTTCTCCACTCTCACCCTGCAGGGGGCTCCCCAGATCCGCGCAAGGATCCCGTTATTCTCAGGTGCTATTCTCACGCCCTTCTGGGCTGCATTTAGAGCAGAGATGGGAGAGATGGGGGCTCTCCGGACTGGCAGAGTCTTAGCTGGAACTGGGAAGACTGGCCACGCGGGGGGAGGGGACCTAGCCGGACGGAGCAGGGATGGGGGGCGCGGCTTTCTGCCCTTTCCTCTCCCTGAGCCGGGGCGGCTGAAAAGCGCCTTTGTGGCCGGAGCTGCTGAGTCCGCTTCTCCCTGCGCGTCCCCGGCCTGGGCTCAGGATTCTCGCTCGGTTAAGTCATCCCGGAGAATGGCCATTGTACTTCGCGCAACCCCCGCCACCCCAATCCTTTTTCCAACAGCCTTGATCCCGCACAGCTCCTCTTGGGCACCTCTGTGGGGGTCATCCGGAGCACGAAGGGGTTAATGCTAGGGGCCGAAAGGAGGAGGAGGAAGGAAGGAAGGAAGCGATGCCCGGTGCCAGGGAAGGCAATGAAACAAAAGATGAATCAGGCGGAGGGAGGAGAGCCGGTGCCTGGGGCGGGGGCCAGGCTCAAACAGGGGCTCCCCGGGAGCAACCAGGCCCTCCCTGACCACGCTTCCATTCGCCCTCCCAACTCTGGCCTTCTCCCAGGTTAAGCCGCTGTCCCAGAACCAATAGGGGTGAGGGATGGGCATTAAAAATGGGGAAGGAGGTAAGTATGGGCATCCACTCTCAACCTCAGAGGTGACCCCACAGTTCTCCAACGACGCCCAGGGAACGGAGTGCAGATTGGCGACTACCATCTATTCAGATTCTCATTTCTCCAGGACACTCAAAAGCTGGGAGGGGGAGGAGTGGGGCCGGAATAACAAAGAATCAACCCTCCTATCCAGGTCCCTTTTGCCCCCAGGGTGGTGGTGGGAGACTGACTCCTTTATTCCCCGCCAGCGTTGTAAGGAACGGGTGAACGCGTTGGCCATTGCGGTGATGAACATGTGGCCCGGAGTGCGCCTAAGAGTGACTGAGGGCTGGGACGAGGACGGCCACCACGCTCAGGATTCACTCCACTACGAAGGCCGTGCTTTGGACATCACCACGTCTGACCGCGACCGCAACAAGTATGGGTTGTTGGCGCGCCTCGCAGTGGAAGCCGGCTTCGACTGGGTCTACTACGAGTCCCGCAACCACGTCCACGTGTCGGTCAAAGCTGGTACAGTAGGAGGAGGGTGGTAAAATCCGCCCAAAGGGGGCTCCCTCCGTTAAACTGAGTCTGCAGTAGTCCTGTTGCCACCCTAGGGGAGACCAAGCGGGCTTTAGTGTTGAAAAATACCCGTCCAGGGGCTGAGGCGGTGCCTCACGCCTCTAATCCCAGCACTTTGGGAGGCCAAGGCAGGAGGATCACTTGAGGTCAGGAGTTCGAGATCAGCCTGGCCAACATGGTGAAATCCCATCTGTATTATAAATACAAAAATCAGTCGGGCGTGGTGGCGCATGCCTGTAATCCCAGCTACTCGTGAGACTGAGGCAGGAGAATCGCTTGAACCCAGGAGGTAGAAGTTGCGGTGAGCCGAGATGCTGCCACTGCACTCTATCTACTGGGCGACAGAGGGAGACCCTATCTCAAAATAAATAAATTAATTAATTAAATAAATTAGAGAAGAAAAAGGAAAAGAAAAGAAAGAAAACCACCCTTCCTTTTCTGCCCAGGTTGGGGCCAGTCAGGTTAATGGGAAATTGTGTTGTCCAGGACTGGCGATGTCTGCGCTGGCCTTGAGACTCGGTGCCATCATTCTGGAACCACTGGTCTTAATTCAATCCTCCCTGTGGTTGTTCCCTGCAGATAACTCACTGGCGGTCCGGGCGGGCGGCTGCTTTCCGGGAAATGCAACTGTGCGCCTGTGGAGCGGCGAGCGGAAGGGGCTACGGGAACTGCACCGCGGAGACTGGGTTTTGGCTGCCGATGCGTCAGGCCGGGTGGTGCCCACGCCGGTGCTGCTCTTCCTGGACCGGGACTTGCAGCGCCGGGCTTCATTTGTGGCTGTGGAGACCGAGCGGCCCTCACGCAAACTGTTGCTCACACCCTGGCACCTGGTGTTTGCGGCTCGAGGGCCGGCGCCCTCGCCAGGCGACTTTGCACCGGTGTTCGCGCGCCGGCTACGCGCTGGGGATTCGGTGCTGGCGCCCGGCGGGGATGCGCTTCGGCCAACGCGCGTGGCCCGTGTGGCGCGGGAGGAAGCCGTGGGGGTGTTCGCGCCGCTCACAGCGCACGGGACGCTGCTGGTGAACGATGTCCTGGCCTCGTGCTACGCGGTTCTGGAGAGTCACCAGTGGGCGCACCGCGCTTTTGCCCCCTTGCGACTGCTGCACGCCCTAGGGGCGCTGCTCCCTGGCGGGGCCGTCCAGCCGACTGGCATGCATTGGTACTCTCGGCTCCTCTACCGCTTGGCAGAGGAGCTGCTGGGCTGAGCGTCCCAGGCATAGAAACCTCGAAGCGCCCGAGCAAACGAGGGCCTGCTGGCTGAGATGTGGGGGTGTGGGCAGCAGACGATGCCGACTGGAAGGGAGGGAGAGGGAGGGGGAGGGAGAAAATGGGGCTATGCCTGGCTTAGGGGCAACCTTGAACTCAGAGGAGGTGATCCCGGGTCCTAGGTAGGTGGGGCTGATGGTGCGCACTCCTTAAAGAGGACTATTTAGGCTGGGCGCGGTGGCTCACGCCTGTAATTCTAGCACTTTGGGAGGCCGAGGCGGGTAGATCACAAGGTCAGGAGATCCAGACCATCCTGGCTAACACGATGAAACCCCGTCTCTACTAAAAATACAAAAAAAAAAAAAAAAAGAAAAAAATATTAGCCAGGCGTGGTGGCGGGCGCCTGTAGTCCCAGCTACTCGGGAGACTGAGGCAGGAGAATGGCGTGAACCCGGGAGGCGGAGCTTGCAGTGAGCCGAGATCCCGAGATCCTGCCACTGCACTACAGCCTGGGTGACAGAGCAAGACTCTGTCTCCAAAAAAAAAAAGAGGACTATTTAGCCTCTCCCCCAGTGCCTCAGCCCCACCCAATAATTTTATTTTATTTCTTATTTATAAATTGTAATATAATGATTCCCTTGCCCAGCTTGCCAAGGTGAGGGGCTGGGGCATGGCATTAACACTGTCTGACACCGCCAGCCAGTCTGACATCTGACATTTTCCTACAAGGCGGGCTAATAAAGGGAAGGCTTTCAGGAGCTTACTGGAAAACACCTCCATTCAGAGGGTGATTCACCTCCAGAGAGGGGGAGAAAGGTGGCCAACCTGAGTTAACACCTTACTTCCGGCTTCCCCTCCTTCCTCAGCAGGGTCTTTGGGACCCCTTTCCTCCCTTCAGAAGGGGCATCCCAACCCATAAGCAACAGAGCCCACAAGAGTCGTACCCTTTTCCAGGCTGCTGTTTCCATCTCCCACCCAGAGAGGATCAGCATTTTGCTTCTGCGGCTGAAGGGGCCAGGGTTGTCTGGGGTGGGAAAGACTGTGCACACCCCTTCTCTGTTTATAGGGGCTCCAGCAGGGGCCCAGGCCCTTGTGAGTACTGATACTCAAAACATCTAGTCCCCTATTATTAGCCAGTAGTCCTGGTCCCCATCCTACCCTGGTGGCAGGGCCTGGATGGGGTGATGTTTTTTCTGATATGCCACTGGGCCAACTGATGATCCATGGGAAACCTGGCTAATAACTTGGCAATCCTCACATACTCGTGGCCTGTAAAAGGAAGAGGAGTACGGTAAGGGGATGGAATATTTCCTTAGGAAGGGCTGCTCAGAGAGAGAGAATGGGTTAGGCCTGGGTGTATGTGGGGGAAGTAGATTCCCTAAACAAAGGCATATCAGCATTACAACCCGAGCTCCCCTCCTGATCGCTGGCCCTGATTGTTGTTTCTACTGGCTTGGTCTTCTGTGCCTCCTCTTCCCTCTCCCATTATCACCAGCTGTGCTTCCCTAGCCTGGGTGTTTTTGGAACCTTTAGGTTCCAACGCAGTAGACACCTGGAATCCAGGCAGGCGGGTGTCCCTGAGTTAGGAATGGAAGCTCAGGAGGAAGCTGGGCTGCTCCAGAAGGGAAGTGTCTTGGGTGGAGGTGAGGCAGGGAGGAGGAAATAGTCCTCCTCCCTGCCTCACCTCAATAGGGGATTGTTGGTACCACCCGGAGCTCGCCCTTGTCAGTAGCAGAAGTGCGCTCCCACCGCACAGGGTCCCTGCTATACACCGCCCTCTGGTGGCCTTCAAGATAATTCTAGGCCTATGCATGTGGTTCTCTGAAACGGAAGGAAAGAGGCCTCAGACATGGAAGGGTGTACTGGACCTGCGCAAAGGAGCCTGCTCCCAGGAGGGGAGGGATGATGGGTGGGCCTTGTTAAGCTGCCAGTGCTGAGCCACGCATATCAGGAGCTATCAAGGAGTCCACCTGCTTCTCCTTGGGAAAGTCCTTCCAAACCATGGCACTTTTATATCCCTCCTGCCTAGTTTAGCTCTGTGGTTCCTGGAAGCTGCAGATGCCCTACTAGTATACCTGTAGTAGCCCAGACTTCCTTACATATCAAAGTTGCTGCCTCATGTCCCTCACCCTCATGACCCTTGAGTTCAGTTGTCAAGGAAGTGAAAGCATAATAGTGTTCCAGGTAGTGCTTGATAAAGGCAATATTTGGAAGCCGGCCAAGTTTACCTTTGGTGTCCTTCCACCTACCGCTGCCCTCAACCCACACTGGGGGTCTGTTGCACCTTTGTTTTTCCGTGTCTCAGAAACACATCCCAAGCTGTGGACCTTTCCTACTTTCTAAACCTACCCTTGTCTCTTTTTATCAGATCTGGTGCCTTCCTGTCATGTCACCACAGGTGATGACAAATCTGATAAACGAATTAGTTTTCCTATGTTGATGGGCTCCTTGGTTTTACTGCCCTTCCCAGGTAATCAGGTAATGCATATATATACATGTATTTTTAAACAGACAGGATCTCGCTCTGTCGCCCATGCTGGAGTGCAGTGGTGCGACCTTGGCTCCCTGCAGCTTCAACCTCCTGGGCTCAAGCAATCCTCCCATCTCAGCCTCTCAAATAGCTGGGACTACAGGTGCATGCTGCTATGCTTGGCTAACGTTTGTATTTTTTGTAGAGACAGAGTCTTGTTACGTTGACCAGGCTGGTCTTGAACTCCTAGGCTCCTGCCTTCGCCCCACAAAGTGCTGGAATTACTGGTGTGAGCCCCTGTGCCCAGCAGTAATACATATATCTTACAGTTTTAACCTTTAACCATAAAATCATAATGGTGATGATTCCTAGCACTGTAATAAGTTAGCTAGGGAGATGTTTCAGGACAAGGAGAACTCATTGGTTTCCCTTAAACTACATTCTGTAAGTAATTTTCTAGGCTTGAGGTTTACCTCTCAACCCGCACTTCCTCCCTTCATTATCTTTATTCCTTTGAGTCCCCTCCTAGCTCTCAAAAAAAAAAAAAATGCATGACTTGCCTTCAAGCAGCATCTCGGTGTAGCAGGTGGGCATATTCACTTGGCCATGCGATACCTCCCAATTGCAGCACATTTTACCATCAACAAAATAGTCAATGATGATTCAGCTTATAAGTCAGCCAGATCTGGGGATAATGATACCTCTGTGACAGGATGGTTGACAAGGATTGTGCTGGATGTGGAATAGGCACTCAGTAAATATTTTCTATTCTTTGGCCACTTCTTACTGACTTTGCTGCCTTCCGATTGCTTCTTTCCTCACCATTCCACTAAAAGCATCAGTCATGCAAACTTTCTGGAGTTGTGTCACAGCACTTTCAGAAGCTGGAGGTATACTAGCAGCATTTCTGTAGTAGTCCAGATTTCTTTACATATTGAAGTTGACTCTTCATGTCCCTCACCTTTGTGACCCTTGAGCTCAGTAGTCAAGGAGGTGAAAACATAATGGGGTCCCAGGTAGTGCCTGAGACTACTTTTCTGAAGAAGTATAATTAAAAGTAATATTGTTTTAAGAATTTATGAAGCATTTTGTGATCACCCTGGCAATACCTGTCTGCGTATTGAGAAATCAGAGTTGAGAACCACTGCCTAAAGGTTTCAGGTGACTTGTTTATCTGCCCAGAATCCAGTCTTTTATTCCTTCTTTCCTTCCTTCAAGCAGGATTTACTGAACATCTGCAGTGTAGCCCTGTATTCCCCACTGAAAAACACAAAAGGTTAACAAACAGCTTCTTCCCTGGGGAAGTAGACATAAACACAGAAAATATTTAACATTGTTACTTAATTTGGATGAGTTGAACCGGTGGTAAATGCCATATTAGTACAGAGAAGGCCTTGAGGAGAAAGGAGGGCCTGACTAAGATGTTGAAGCATGTGTAGGCGGAGGAGACTGGAAAGGGCATTCCAGGCAGAAGGAACATCATGAGCAAGGACTCAGAATCTGAGATGAAGCTGTGCAACTTATTTAGAGCAGAAGACTGGAAGTGTAACAATATGTAGCTAATGGTTACTGAGAATTTAAGATATGCCAGGCCCTGCCCTGATATTTTACCTGCATTTTCTTTTCCCCCTCCCCTCCCCTCCCCTTCCCTTCTTTCTAGTTTCATTCTTATTGCCCAGGCTGGAGTGCAGTGGCATGATCTCGGCTCACTGCAGCCTCTGCCTCCGGGGTTCAAGTGATTTTCCTGCCTCAGCCTCCTGAGTAGCTGGGATTACAGATGCCCGCCACCATGTCCGGCTAATTTTTTGTATTTTTAGTAGAGACGGGATTTCGCTGTGTTGGCCAGGCTGGTCTCAAACTCCTGATCTCAGGTGATCCACCCGCCTGGCCTCCCAAAGTACTGGGATTAAGGCGTGAGCCACCACACCCGGACTTTACCTGCATTTTCATTTAATCCTCACAATCACAATCTGAGATGGTGTTGCAGAAGAGGAAACTGAGACAAAGAGAGGCTTAAGTCATGTGGCTAAGTTACCACAGCCAGTAAGTGGCAAAATGAAGCGGGAGTAACAAGAAATAAGACTTGGGCCAGGTGCAGGTGGCTCATGCCTGTAATCCCAGCACTTTGGGAGGCCAAAGTGGGCGGATCACTTGAGGTCAGAAGTTGGAGACAAGCCTGGCCAACATGGCAAAACCCTGTCTCTACTAAAAGTACAAAATTAGCTAGGCATGGTGGCGGGAGCCTGTAATCCCAGCTACACGGGAGGCTGAGGCAGGAGAATTGCTTGAACCTGGGAGGCAGAGGTTGCAGTGAGCTGAGATTGCACCACTATACTCCAGCCTGGGTGACAGAGTGAGATTCCATCTAAACAAAAAATAATAAATAAAAATAAAAATAAAAAAATCAGGCTGGACAGCATAGTGAGACCCTGTCTCTACAAAAAATAATTTTTAAAATTAGCCAGGTGTGGTGGTGCATGCCTGTAGTCCCAGCTATTTGGGGGGCTGAGATGGGAGGATCGCATGAGCCCAGGAGTTCAAGGTTGCAGTGAGCTATGATCACACCACTGCACTACAGCCTGGGTGTCAGAGCAAGAGCTCAAAATAAATAAACAAATAAATAATTTTTTTTTTAAAAAAGAAATAAGACCACCTTGATGAATGGGGCCGCATCTTGTTGGACCTTAGCTGTTTTTCACCTTTTCTCCTTCCCTTCACTGAGTCACTATAAAGTCCTCCCAGCTTTCTGACAGTTATTTCTCTCTCATTTTCATTGGCTCCCTAACTAAATAGCTAGATAGCTCCCTAAAGCTATCTATCCATCCAGTTAAGGAAATACATATACTGATACAGGTTTCTGGCAGGAATCTATGGCAGGCTGGTACGCCAACACAGAAAGCATAAGAAGACCCTTAGCTCTTTTTGAACTAGAGAAGGAGAGGGAAGATTGAACTTTGTTATGACTGAATGTTTGTGTATCCTCCCCCCAGCTCAAATTCATATATTGAAGCCTTAACCCCTACTGTGTCTGTATTTGGAGAAGGGGACTCTAAGGAAGTAATTAAGGTTAAATGAGGTCATAAGGGTAGGGTCTT